TCTTGCGGAGTCAGGTCTATCAAGTGTACAAAATAGTATTGAAGACGCAACCCACCGACTGCTGTCAAAAGCGGTTGAAAGCACAAACTCTTCGCTGACCAAGGCCTTTGCTACTTCGCTGAGGCGTACCAGGCTACCAAGACTTCCTTCAGCAATAACAAAATGCGTTATCTTTGCAAAAAAAATGCTCTTCCACTGTCTGTGGGGAATAAAACAAAGCCCCTTCATCCTCATTGGCTAATGCCGTGTGAATCATTCCCCAACAAACTAKCCAAGCTGTCCAAACAGAACACACCAAACGATGTTTTCAAAAAAACGTTCTTGGAAATGGAGCATGAATACGAAAAAAATTCCTGGAAGTTGATCTTCACAGACGGATCTAAGTCATCCGAATACACTTCCTTTTCCGTGGTCACGAACACAGGTAATACAATCTGCAACTGGCTTCTTCCTTACATGTGTTCGGTTTTCACAGCAGAGGCGTCTGCCATATTGAAGGCGGTCGAGCAGGCAAAAAAACACAATGGTAAATATCTCATTTGCACCCACAGCAAGTCTTGCATCTCAGCCATTAAGTCGTTATCAAATTACAATCAAAATAATCTGGATTCCGGGCCACGTGGGAATAACTGGCAATCACCTCGCTGACGCCGCTGCCAAATATGTCAAAAACATACCGGCTTTTACTTACAACTATCTTTCGAAACAAGACATACGCAACTTCATTAAACACAATCGAAGATAACTTAAATGCTTGGAAACTACACACCCATAGTTACGCCATCAACAACCCAGATAGAATACCAACCTTGTACGGGTCCACCACGAAAATAAGCGCCATCAAAGCATACACTCACCTCAGGATCGGACACACCATCGTAACTCACTCGCATATAATTATGGGAAAAACCCGTTCCAAATTGCCCTTTTTGTGACAACTGCGTATCAATTCAACACATACTAGCAGACTGCCCAGTAATCCACTCAACAACACAGTACTCTGACAACATTGACTTAGCACAAGCATTAAAAAATCCCTCAGATAAAAACGTAATGATTACATATAAATTTTTAAAAGATAGAAATTTACTAAACTACATCTAACACACTAACAACTAACTAACACAATAATAGTACCTAAGCTATTAATAAGGCGGCTGAAGGCCTAGTAGCCAGTGCTGCGATTTCATGTATTTACATAATAAATATTTTATTGTATAAATGATTATAAATAAATAACTAAATAAATAAATATTTTTATACTCTCGCAACAAAKTTGCTAAAGAGATTGTTTGTAAGTCCTAAAACTAAAACAGTTAGATATAGGGTTATATATACCAAAGTGATCAGGGTGACGAGTAGAGTTGAAATCCGGATGTCTGTCTGTCTGTCCGTCCGTCTGTCTGTCCGTCCGTCCGTGCAAGCTGTAAGTAACTTGAGTAAAAATTGAGATATCATGATGAAACTTGGTACACATATTTCTTGGCTCAATAGGAAGGGTAAGTAAGAAGATGGGCAAAATCGGTACACTGCCACGCCCACGAAATGGCCAAAACAGAAAACTTATAAAGTGTCATAAATAAGCCATAAATAACGATATTAAAGTGAAATTTGGCACATTAGGGAGTTGCATATTTGGACGTAATTTTTTTTGGAAAAGTGGAGGTGGCTCCGCCCCCTACTAAGTATTTTGTACATATCTCGGAAACTACTATAGCTATGTCAACCAAACTCCACAAAGTCGTTTCTTTCAGACATTTCCACATACAGTTCAAAAATGGAAGAAATCGAATATAACCACGCCCACCTCCCATACAAAGGTTATGTTGAAAATCACTAAAAGTGCKTTAACCGCCTAACAAACAACGTCAGAAACACTAAATTTTACGGAGGAAATGGCAGAAAAAAGCTGCACCCAGGCTTTTTTAAAAATTGAAAATGGGCGTGGCGTCGCCCACTTATGGACCAAAAAAGATATCTCAGGAACTACTCGACCGATTTCAATGATTTTAATTCCTTAACACCCTGATGATATGTACGAAATGTGGGTGAAATCGGTTCACCACCACGCCTTCTTCCAATATAACGCTATTTTGAATTCCATCTGATGCCTTCCCTGTATAATATATACATTATTAACCAATGATGATAGCGGAATAAAACTTTACACAAATACGGTATTTGAGCTGAGGGATCCCTTGTGGAAAAATTGTCGTGATCGGACTATAACTTTTCAAGGTCCCTGATATCGAACACGAAGAACTCAGTGCCTAACCTAACCTAATCTAATTAATTTTACAGCAAGGTAAAAAAATTTGTAAATRACGGATAATGAAATCTCGATTATCACTTTATCATGCGAGAGTAAACTGCACAAATTTTACTGGCGGCTTGAGATGCATTTTTGCCTTTATCGTAGTAGTACTGTAAAATATGCCGTATTTTCTCTTTATTTTGCTCCATGTTTKCGCCGCTATAACTCACGAACGACTTAAAAGGAAAGACAACCAATCAAAGTGCGTGAAAGGAGCTTTCTAAAAATGTATAGCATGACCCGATGCGACGAATAAAATTAGAACTACGCGCTCTCAGCTCCAACTAGCGAAAATATCGCAAGACTTTTTTGACAAACTGATATATTTTATGTTATCATTAATTGAGCAAAGAATTTAACTCGCGCCTATAGTTTGATTGTTCCTTCCCTAACCGCAATGTGTTTCTCCACGATAGCCGTATTTGACAAATCAAAWCTGCTTTCATCAGGGAGATTTGGTTTCCTCGTGGATATATCTCTAATGGGGTGAGCTTTATCATCTCCTAAGTCCGATTGCTCACTGGGCATCGATTCGTGGTCACCATCTACTCTTACTCTTACGCCTACAAAAGCTACAAGCTCAAAGCAAGGGGATACGAAACAGGAACTTTACTTTGACAAATATGTGCACAACGGCATTACCAATAAAATCGATAGTTTTGTTAGAGCTTTCATCGCGAAAAAAATGCCCAACTACGGACAAAATACGTTCAAAACGACCCTAATAGAAACTTCAATAGACCCTTTTTCAGAATCAATCACTCACATCCGAATAGTATAAAAAAAGTCATGCGAACTTTGTAAAGGAGGGAGCAACCTGAAATCTTGCAAAAAAATCAGAAAATTGMATATTAGCGACCGAAACATAACATAACAGAAGGATAAACAGTTTTTATACCAACTGTTTGTCAAATGCGCATACGCTCAAAGATTGCGAAAGCAAATTTAATTGCATTTATTGCCATTAACGACAAAACACTATGCTTCACATTACAACTTTTTCCAGCTCCCCTCGGCCGACCAGCTTTGAAACTTTTGAAACTTCAAATCAATTTTTCAATATCAATATCTCAATTTCAACATTACTTTTTCACACAAATGAACATGTAATATGATGGAGTTTTTTCCATTTTTTTTTTATAATAACAAATTATCCGCAATTCTTTTTAGCCAAGTCCTCCAAAAAATAAAACAAAAAAAAAAATTTTTTTATAATAACAAATTATCCGCAATTCTTTTTAGCCAAGTCCTCCAAAAAATAAAACAAAAAAAAAAACAAAAAAAAAAAAAAAACAACTCTTTCTGTTTACCTCGAGAAATAGGTCACCTTTCAAACGCATATCCATTTCTTTGTTTCAGATGATCCGGTAACGAGTTATAACGTTCACGGGCTTATTTATTAATATTTTTCATTGATCAGTTTTTTTAATATACTTCAAAAGTTGTACAATAATATGTCATTAAATTAGTAAAATTATATTACTCATGTCGTCGCAAAAAAATCACAAATATATCCTTTTTGTTTGCCTTTAAAACCTTACCCCCGCTCAATTAGATAATTTATTAGGCAGCGATCTCATAACACAAATAACACTAGAAGGTATTAAGAATGGCCCCCGATGGTTAGCAGAAACTCCTGATTGGCCACAATGGCCCATGCATAATATAATTGATTCTTTTCATACAGCATGAAATGATACTGACATCCTTGAGCGATTTTCATTGTACTCCCGAGTACTCCCTGCTAAGGTCTCGTATGTCTGCTAAGGCTATGTGGCTGTCTTTGTCTATTTAACGACAAAAGCAGTGCAGCTCGAGCTTTGTACTAATCTGACAGGAGGCTTTCTTCGCTGCATATCCCCAAGAGCTCCTTATATGGGTGGTTTATGGGAATCAGCTGTAAAAAGCTTCAAATGCTATTTAAAAAAGTAACTGGAAACTAAAATGTTAATTACGAAGATATAAAAAAACCGTAATTAGCAACAGCAACCATTTCTCGAAGCGAACAACCACCGCTGGTATCGCGATTGGGGTCTTCGAAACCGCACCACCCATGCCCTCTAAGTCGCCGCGACCACCGGTTACAACGCTGCAGAATCTTTAAAGTTATGRAACCGATTCAGAATCAGCAAGTAGCACAGACACGCGGGGCTATCTCAATTCTTTGAAGCTTACCCATCCAATGCAGGAGTATGTCTAGGAGTTTTCTCTCCAAATGTGCGGGAGGTCGCACCACACACGTCTTCATCGCTTGTGCCACTTTAACCTTGCACCCGTTCCATATGACGTCCATATCACCTCCACTGACTCGTCCGTAAAACCAAGGCAGCAGAACACATGTGTGGCGCCAAAATAGACCGTCAACCCGTCCCCTTACTAGTTTCAGCAGTGTGGTAGCAACGCTACACAACGCTATAGAGTCTGCTAGGCTAAAACATTTGCCTAGGGGTCGGGATGGTAAACTGGGTCTTATCTCTTGCCCGTTTACACACCATTTCACAAACGCTACAACACTTACAGAGTCGGGATGGTTAACTGAGTCTCATGTCCTGCTCGTCCATGATCGTCTTCCCTCAGCTTTAGCTCGATTGTTACATTACCGGCTCAGAAGAAAAACCTCTTGAAGTTAAATTTAAATAATTTAAAAATATACAAACACCGTCCACCTTGATAGGATCAGATTCCTTCAATTTCCAGTGGAAGCACGGCCAGTTTGTGGATGGGACGCTGAATTGTGCCCGTCTTGGTGCCACGTCTGCGATGCGCACCTTGCCGTTGCGACGACGCGCCCTAGTACCCACTGCTGCGGTGGCACGTTGTCCTCGTGGACGAGAACGAGGTCGTTGAGCTGCATTTTGCGTTTGCGTTGCGCTCCTGAAAGCCCGTCAGGTATACGTTGGACCACTGTCGCCAGAACTGTTGCTGGAGCCAGCAAACAAGTTGCCATCTCTCGCAACAACGAACTGGATCCACTGGCACCTATTAGTAGATGCGCTGGGGTTAGTGCCTCCCCGCCGTTAGGATCTTGGCTCAGAAGTACTAGGGGGCGAGAGTTTAGGATGGCCAACACTGTTGCTAACTCCTCTGCTGTGCGTAGCGCTTTGCCGGTTACCCGAACGATGTGGTGTTTGGCGGACTTCACCGCGGCTTCCCATAATCCGCCGAAGTGCGGCGCCCGCGGTGGTATAAAGATGAAGCTGCACCCTTCGTCTGCTGCGAATCTCTTCAGTTCTGGACCCATTTCCAGAAACGCCTCCTTCAATTCGCGCAGCTTGCGATCGGCGCCGACGAAATTGTTGGCGTTTTTGCTGAATATCTTCGTCGGGATTCCTCGGCGTCCAATGAACCATTTTAGGKCGAAAATAAATGAATTAGAAGATAGGGCCGAAACTAATTCTAAATGTACTGCTTTGGAAGTAAAGCAAACGAAAACAGCAATATAAGTTTTCACGGGTGTTCGACCGCGTATTTTCAAAGTTGTGTATATCGGACCACAAAAATCTACGCCACATATAAGAAAGGGCCGTAGTGCTCGAAGTCTTTCGACTGGMAAATTTCCCATTATTTGGTTTTGCAACTTCGGCTTGTAATTAAAACAATGTCTACAGTTTCTTACGGTTCTACTGCAGGCTTCTCGGGCATTAATTAACCATATGCGTTCTCGAAGAGGCGCAACCAACGCTTTWGCCCCAGCGTGGTGATTTCGAATATGCAGAAACCGTAAATACGTTATAACGAAGTGCGAACTTTTATTTAATAAAAGCGGAAATTTGACATCGTATGGGAAAGGTGCATTTAATAGGAGACCTCCTACTCTGATTAATTTGAATGACAGCGATGTATCCGAGTACTCATGCAAAAACGGGTTGAGCTTTTGTAAGTTTGCGGGTAGGGGTTGAGCTTTTGTAACTTTGCGGGTAGGGAGGTACCTTTATGCAATTTTTGTATAATATCCAAAAATTCTGAATGTTTGGCCACCTGTACAATTTTTATAAAACTCAAGTTTAGCTCTTCTTTAGGTCGTCTGATCCATCGTAATATGTATGCGACCACACGAAGCAATTTTTTATGAGAAGAAAATTTTTCAATAAGGTCCAATACTGAATTTTTCTCAGCGATCGAGATTAATGTAAATGTATTTTTCTTCTTCCTAATGCTTCGTGTTCAGATGAGAGCTGGAAGTGTTTATTAATTGGCCATAATGCAGGGTCTTCTAGRAGGAACTGTGGACCACCAAACCATGTCGAATTATTCAATTCGTTCACGTTACAACCCAGAGACACTTGATCCGCAGGATTTTGTTTCGTTGGCACATGTCGCCAATGTACTTTGTCAGTCAACTGTTGAATTTCGGACACTCTGTTTGCGRMGAAGGTTTGTAGTGAGAATGGATGTGTTTTAATCCAATATAAAACAACTTCGACTCAACAAAATGTCGACTCAACATAGGCGCTACTCTTGACCATAATTTTGAAAGAAGATGTGCTGCCGAGAACTCAAGACGCGGAAGAGATTTGGTCTTCAGCGGAGCCACTCTAGACTTTGCGGTAAGCAGCATACCTTTAATACCACTAGCAGATTGGCTTCGTATGTATAAGCAGCAACCGTACGAACTTATTGAGGCGTCGGAGTAGCCATGTATGTGGCAGATGACACTCGACTCCACGTTTACGTAACGAGGAATGCTTATCCATGAGAGCTGCATTAGGTTGGCTTTAAAGTTCTGCCAGCTAGTGTCAAGGCGCAATGGAATTGACTCATCACGATCTAGGTTTTGGATCCAAAGCTCTTTCAATAAGATTTTTGCTTTGGTAACTAGTGGGGCTAGTAATCCAAGAGGATCAAAAAGACGAGCAGAAACTGACAATATGTTCCATTTAGTGGTTCGCAGWTCATTAAAGTTGGCATCCAAAACAAATCGAAACAAATCCTATTTCGGCAACCAATGGATTAATCACGTTTTAGTGGAACTTTTGTCATTGAAACTTAATGACTTTTCAGTGCAATCACTGTCGAAAAAAGGGTGGTTCGAAAACCATTTCGTTAACGTGAATCCGTCCGAGTTTAATATCTTAGTTACCTCACTTCTCAAAAGATCTAGACACTCAGAATTTGTGTTAATAAATCATCAACATAAAAGTCTCTTTGGATGGCCAATGAACCGAGTGGATATTTCATTGTGTTGGCATTACTGAGCATTTGCAAACACCGTGTTGCGAGCAATGGAGCAGGCGCAGTGMCATATGTTACGGTGTTAAGACGAAAAATTTTAATTTGCTCAGAAGGATGCTCTCTCCACACAATAAGYTGACAATTTCTGTCTTCTTAATGCATAATTATTTGACGGTACATTTTAGTAATGCTTATATATATATACTTATGTAAGCGAAAGGGAAGAAGAGTTGAGTATAATTCTTCTTGGATGGTTGGACCTACCATCAAAAGTTCATTCAACGCTATTTGAGTTGAATATCGACTCGAAGCAACAAATACAACACGTAATTTGATTATTATGCTCTCGGTTCTTTAAAATGCACTGATGCGTAATGAAGTAGTGTGGCTCACTCGGGATCTTACTGTTCGTTGGGCTCATGTGACCCAATGCTCTATATTCATTCATAAAGTCCAGATACATTTTACGAAGTTCTGGATCTCTTAATGTCCTTCTCTCCAAGGCCTGAAACCGCTGAACTGCGGTTTCATAGGAGTGACCGAGTAATTTACGGTCAGCTTTGAAAGGCATTCTTACTTGAAGCCGTCCTGAAAGCAATACTTGAGTTGTATTTACGAAAAAGTTTTCACACTCTTGTTGCTCTTGTGCGAATTTATGCCATTTGACTCTGAAGGTAATTCTTCTAGAGCCCAAAATTTTTGGACTACTGATTCGATTGACGTTAAGTCTTCTTCAGCTTGCCATAATGTGCTATGTGATTTGGGAGGAGAACTTAGGTTGCTGACGTATTTGCCAGATACAACCCACCATAAAAGGGTTTTATGTAGTGTTGGTTGATTAGGATGATTTTTAATTTGGCCAACAGCTAGAAGATCGAAAAATATTTCTGTACCCAATAAGATGTCAACTTTTTTACATTTGTGGAATTCTGGATCCGCCAATTCAATATTGTGCGGAATTTGGCAGCCATTAACATTGATATTATGGTTTGGATGGTTAGCCGAAATACTTCGCATTATCCAGAGAATTCCGCCGAAAATTCGTAATTATTTACCCGCGACTTAACAAACGCGCTTAATTTTGCCCCCACTTTCGTATTGGAATGGCCGATTCCTATTACACTTAATGTTTGTGCTGACGTCGAATCCGCAACTTCTGTGCCAAGTCCTCCATCATGAAGTTGACCTGGGAGCCTGAGTCCAGCAACGCTCTCGCAGGCAAGTAATCTCCACAACTGGTCCTTATTTGAATCACTGCTGTTGCCAACATGACCCGACCCGTTTTACCAAGATTGATTGAAAATTACAACGCAAACGACATCTTTAATGCCGATGAGACTGGATTGTTTTTCAAATGCCTGCCAAGTAAAACACTGACATTCAAAAATGAGCAATGCTTTGGGGGAAAACAAAGCAAGGAGAGAATAACCGTTATGGTGGGAAGCAATATTACTGGATCGGAAAAACTTAAATTGCTTGTAATCGAAAAGGCGAAGAATCCGAGATGCTTTAAGGGAGTAAAATCGTTAAATGTCGATTATGAGTTTAACAAAAAAGCATGGATAAAGCCGGACAAAAAATTTGGTAAACAAGACAGGAAGGTCTTACTTTTTGTTGATAACTGCACTGCGCTTCCTAGAGATGTAAAAGACAAGCTAAAAAATATTCAGCTTGCTTATTTTCCTCCCAACATGACTTCGTTACTGCAACCAATGGACCAAGGCATTATCTACAATATTAGTGGAAACGTATTTTAACGAATATATTGGCTCAGCTGGATCGGAGAACTTCTGTTTTTGCGATAGACTTACTCCACGCTATTCGAAATTTAAGCACTGTATGGGATGTCTATGTTAAAGCAGAAACAATTGCCAACTGTTTTAGGAAGGCAGGATTTTCAAAAGATGCCATGCAGAATCCATCTGAGCAGTGGGATGAAGAAGACCTTTCAATAGCGGATTTGGCAGTCTTCATTTAAAAAAGTGTCAAATATCGAGGCATCATTTGAGAACTATGTCAATGTTGATATTGATGTGCCGACCTCGGAAAACCCCTGCGAGGAAGATATCCTCAGCAGCGTTCTAAAAAGTCGCGGAGTTCCAGCTGTACCTGGTGAATATTTATCTTTGTTGTAACCAAACAAATATTTATGTAATAAACATAATTTCTTTTTTTTCCTTTTGAGATATCGATGAAGTCGATTTGGACACTGAAGAAGAAATGGCAGGTACTGATGAGGCATAACCTACATTAGGACAAGTTTCTTCTTCCATTAACTGTATTAGAACCTCTGTGGAGATGAAAAGTGACGTACCGATTAATGTTTTTAATTGTCTAAATGATTTGGAAGCTTTTGTTGAAAATGAAAAATGGAAGAATGTAATTCAAACCAAACTTACTGATAATTTTAAATAAAATTACAAAAGAAAAAAAAGTAATTTCTAAATAATGAAGGCTCCATATAGTGAAGCGATTTTCAGGTCCCCTGCGAATTCACTATAAGGAAGTTTCACTGTACATGCTCAAACATATACGAATTCAAAGTGAATAAGGGATTTTGGGATTTTGCGGTAGCCCTTTATTTTGAAATAAAGGTGAAAAAAATTATTAATAGCAAAATTAAGTTTTCTAATTTTTCGATCCGCGTTTGCAATTATCGGTCGTTTTTTCGCAATTTGTATCGATTTTCGTTCGGGCATTTTCCGATTAAATTACTATTTTGTGCTATTGCTCATTCTTCGCGATTTTGTAGGCTGGCGTCAGCACTTTCTCCACATAACGTTTTTTGAACAATACCATGGCGTCTTTTGAACTTATCTAACCAACCTGTACTTGCCTCAAATTCATGGTGTCCTAGTGCTTCAGCAAAATCTTTGGCCTTTTGCTACAATATTGTTTAGAGCATTTGCGCACTTCACTCTTTTCACCTTTGTTTTTAGCCACTTACCGCTTTCACTTTGCTTTTAAATGAAACCACTCGATTACGCTATACTTTCAATATTTAATTATTTTGAATGAGATTTTAAACAATATTTCAGAAATTGCAAAATATGTGCGGAGGATTGACAAGGCGCGAGGATCACAGCGGCGGTGCGTAGGCTTCGTTTGAAAATCAAAACGAAACTGAAGAAAAGCCTAAGACGCTGACCCTTTTGAGCAATGTGGAGTGTGTTTGCGTGTGTGGATATGATCTGGATTCTGTGTGTGTGGTGTAGTCGCATTAGGAGGGGGCGGCTTATCTGATTTAGCCATCCCGGCCCCCCTAGGCGAATATTCAGCCTAGCAACCTCTGTAGTTGCTGGAGAGTTGCAACTACGTTGCTGAGTTCTGTAGCGGGGCGATGCTGTGGCGCTTTTGGACGACGCCTGGTTGGTGCAACGTGGTGCGGAC